CATACAGTATTTGTTTTTCTCTTTCTGACTTACTTTGCTCTGTACGACAGACTCTAGGTCCATCCACCTCAGTACAAATAACTCAATTTTTTTTCTGTTTATGACTAATATTCCATTGTATATATGTGCCACATCTTCTTTATCCATTCATCTGTCAATGGACATTTAGGTTGGTTCCATGTCCTGGCTATTGTAAATAGTGCTGCAATGAACATTGTGGTACATGTCTTTTTTTTTTTTTTTTTTTGGGCTGTGTTGGGTCTTTGTTGCTGTGCATGGGTTTTCTCTAGTTGCAGTGAGCAGGGGCTACTCTTCATTGCGGTGCATGGGCTCTCTTCGCGGTGGCTTCTCTTGTTGCAGAGCATGGGCTCTAGGCGCCTGGGCTTCAGGAGTTGTGGCTCATGGGCTCTGGAGCGCAGGCTCAGTAGTTGTGGCACACGAACTTAGTTGCTCTGTGGCATGTGGGATCTTCCTGGACCAGGGCTCGAACCCATGTCCCCTGCATTGGCAAGCAGATTCTTAACCACTGCACCACCAGGGAAGCCCCATGTCTCTTTTTGAATTATGGTTTTCTCAGGGTATATGCCCAGTAGTGGGATTGCTGGGTCATATGATAGTTCTATTTTTAGTTTTTAGTTTAGTTTTTTAAGGAACCTCCATACTGTTTTCCATAGTGGTTGTATCAATTTACATTCCCACCAACAGCGCATGAGGGTTCCTTTTTCACCACACCCTTTCCAGCATTTACTGTTTCTAGATTTTTTGATAATGGCCATTCTGACTGGCATGAGGTGACCTCATTGTAGTTCTGATTTGCATCTCTCTAATGATTAGCGATGTTGAGCATCTTTTCATGTGCCTTTTGGCCATCTGTATGCCTTCCTTGTGAAATGTCTATTTAGGTCTTCTGCCCATTTTTTAACTGGATTTTTTTTGATATTGAACTTCTTGAGCTGTTTGTATATTCTGGAGATTAATGCTTTGTCCATTGTTTCATTTGCAAATATTTTCTCCCATTCTGAGGGTTGTCTTTTCATCTTGTTTATGGTTTCCTTTGCTGTGCAAAAGCTTTTAAGTTTAATTAAGTCCCATTTGTTTATTTTTGTTTTTATTTCTGTTACTCTAAGAGGTGGGTCAAAAAAGATCTTGCTGTGGTTTATGTCAAAGAGTGTTTTCCTATGTTTTCCTCTAAGAGTTTATAGTGTCTGGTCTTACATTTAAGTCTTTAATCCATTTGGAGTTTATTTTTGTGTATGGTGTTAGGTAGTGTTCTAATTTCATTCTTTTATATGTAGCTGTCCAGTTTTCCCAGCACCACTTATTGAAGAGGCTTGTCTTCTTTTTGATGATAGCCATTCTGACAGGTTTGAGGTGATATCTCATTGTGGTTTTAATTTGCATTTATCTGATGATTAACAATGTTGAGCATCTTTTCATGTGCCTGTTGGCCATCTGCACGTCCTCTCTGGAAAAATCTCTATTCAGGTCTTCTGCCCATTTAATTGCCTTTTTTTTTTTTTTTTTTTTTTAATGTTGAGTTGTAGGAGCTGCTTATATATTTTGGATATTAACCCCTTATCAGTCATATCATTTACAAATATTTTTCCCCATTCAGTAGGTTGTCTCTTCATTTTGTCATTGGTTTCCATTGCTATGCAAAAGCTTATATGCTTAATTAGGTCCCATTTATTTATTTTTGCTTTTATTTCCTTTGATTTAGGAGACAGATCCAAAGAATTATTGCTATAATTTACATCAAAGAGTGTCCTGCCTATGTTTTCCTCTAGGAGTTTTATAGTATCCAGTCTTACATTTAGGTCTTTAATCCATTTTGAGTTTTTGTACATGGTGTTAGAGAATGTTCTTTTACATGTAGCTGTCCTACAGCCTTTGTTTATTTAAAGTCTTGGTACCCCAAATTTTTGTTTCTATTTGCATGGAATATATTTTCGTATCCCTTCACTTTCAGTCTGTGTGTGTCTTTAGATCAGAAGTGAATCTCTTATAGGCAGCATATAGATGGGTCTTGTTTTTTTTTTTTAATCCATCAGTCACCCTATGTCTTTTGACTGAAGAATTTACATTTAAAGTGATTATTGATAGGTTGTACTAAATACCATTTTGTTAATTATTTTCTGGTTGTTTTTACAGTTCTTCTATGTTCCTTCTTCTCTTGCTCTCTTCCTTTGGAATTTGATGACTTTCTTTAGCATTATGTTTGAATTCCTTTTTCTAATTTTTCTCAATATTAGGTTTTTGGTTTGTGGTTAATTTGAGGTTCGTGTATAGCAGCCTATGTGTATAGCAGTCTATTTTAAGTTGATTACTTAAGTTCAAATCGTTCTAAAAACACGACATTTTTACTACCCCCACTCCATGTTTTATGTTTTTGATACATTTTACATCTTTTGATTTTGTATACCCACTGATTATTGCAGTTATAGTTGATTTTACAACTTTTGTCTTTAAACCTTATAACCTTTGTAAGTGATTGATCCACTGCCTTTACTATACGTTTGCTTTTACCAGGGAGATTTTTCCTTTTACATGTTTTCTGATTTCTAGTAATGGCCTTTTCTTTTTTTCTTAAAGAAGTCCTTTTAACATTCCTTGTACGACTGGTTCAGTGGTGAACTCCTGAAGATTCTGTTTGTCAGGGAAACTTTATTGCTCCTTCAGTTCTGAACCATAACCCTGCCAGATAGAGTATTCTTGGTTATAAGCTTTTCCCTGTCGGTACTTTGAATATACTGTGCTGCTCGCTTACGGCCTGTAAAGTTTCTGCTGAAAAATCAGCTGATAGTCTTATAGGGGTTCCCTTGTGCATAACTAGTTGTTTTTCCCTTCTTTTGCACCTGATATGCTCTTGATTCCATCTACTGTATTGTTCCTTTCAGTTATTGTATTCTTCAGCTCTGGTTGGTTCTTTTTTGTATCTCTTTGTTGAAGTTCTCACTGTGTTCATTCTTCTTCCAAGTTTGGTGAGTATCTATCTTTCTGGGTATTACTATGAACACTTTATCAGGTTGATTACTTATGTCCATTTCGTTGGTTCTTATCCTGAAGTTTTGTCTTGTTCTTTCATTTGGAGCATATTCCTGTCTCCTCATTCGTTTCTGTGTATTAGGTAGATGAGCTACATCTTCTGGTTTTGAAGAAGTGGCCTTATGTAGGAGGTTTCCTGTGGGGCCCAGAAGAGTAATCCCTGCTAGTCACCAGAGCCAGGGATGTTTTCTATGTGGGCTGCGTGTGCCCCTCCTGTTGTACGGTGCCACAGATGCTGCAGTCACACTAGTGGAAGGGGCTGGCCCCCAAGCCAGCTGCCTGTGTGGCCTGGCCACAGCTGCCGTGCATTCACTGGTGGGCAAGGCTGGCCCCAGTGTGGCTGGCTGTGGGGCCCAACCACAACAGTTGCAGGTACAATTGTGAGTGGGGCTGGCCCCCAGGGTGGGAGCTTCTTTGGGCTCCCACCCTGGGAGGAGGGGGACTATAACCAGCCAAGGACTCCCACTGGATATGGCAGGAGGGGTGGCAGCTGGGAGGAGCTGCTTTGGGCAGGGCAGGTCTGCGGGGGAATGCTGGGGTTGGGGTGAGTGGTGTTAGCAAGGTAGATGGCAAATGTTTTGAAATGGCGCCTGCCAGTGCTAGGCCAGCCTAGGTAGAAGGAGAATTTTTTAAATGATGCCCGCCAGCACTTTGCTCCCCAGAGGCACACCCTAAAGTTAATGAACGTACTTCACATATGGCCTGGGCACTTTGCAAAGTACTGCCTCTGTCCTGGGACTCAAAGTGAGTGAATTTGTGTGTGTGCCCTTTAAGAGCAGAGTCTTGGTTTCCTACAGCTCTCCTGGATACAAGCCCTGCTGGTTTTCAAAACCAGATGTTGTTATGGGGGCTCATCTTCTTGGTGCAGGTCCCTAGGGCTGGGGTGCCTGACGTGGGGCTCGAACCCCTCTCTCCTTAGGGAGAACCTCCATGTTTGTGAGGTTCCCTCCCGTTTGTGGGTAGCCATGTTGGGGGTATGGGTCCTGATGAGACCACATCTCTGCCCTCCTACCTGTCTCAATGTGCTTTTTTCTTTATATCCTTAGTTGTAGGAGAGCTGTTCTGCTGGTCTTCAGGTCATTCTGAGAGAGAGCTGTTGCACACGTAGTTATAGTTTTGGAGTGTCCGTGGGAGCATCTTCCTACTCCACCATCTTGATCCTGCCTCAGTGCTCCTCTTAATTTATACAAATCCTTCCATGTCCATCTCAGTTTCTACCTCCTCAGTGACACTTTCTCATTCTACACCTCCTGTTAGCCTCCCTGAAGCACACAACGGCACCCTTAGTCTTCATCATACAGCTTAACACGTAGGTCTATGCTATTCTGCTATTGTTCCTGATGTGTTTTACTCCCTGAAGCATCAACGGAGTCTTCACTTGCTTTTGTATTTTTTCACAGGGCCTAGCATAGACCTTTCTCACTGTGGGTGTCATTATCATACAAGGGTGTACCCGTAAGAAATAATCAGTATAGCTTCAAAGTCGTTCATTCCAGAAACTTGGCCTACCTTTGGTCACTCCATCCAGCAGTCTGCTACAGACAAGTCCTATGATCCCATCAGCAAACACATTTTTGATAAAATGTGAGCAACTAGGCACTGCTTTTTAAATATGCATACTAACTATAAAATTGAGCTTCTTATGTATTCCCAACATATGAAAATTAGCTGACACACATTCAACACTATTGTTTGCTTGGTTAAAGTCTAATAGAAAATTGAATACTTTGCTTTTCAAGTGTTCCACCATAACCCTCAACCACGATGGCCTGTTAAAAATGTTAACAACAGTATTGCAACTTTATAGAAATAAATATTAACATTTATACATGTAGTCATTGGTTTATGAGACCAAGAGTACTTGATTAAATAGAAGAAGCCTCAATAAGTGAACATGAACTTCACTGCTGTCTCAGTTAGGTTTATAATTCTGAATTCCATGTGTTCATCCACAGATAGTTCATGATGCTGAAACAGACACAGTAATAATTAATCTATCCAACTGTCCACCTCTGTATGATGAGGTGAAAGTGAAATTCCTCTCTTCTTCGGTGAGTAATCAAGAAACCGTTTATGCTGCTAATCTTGTCTAGTCTTCTGAATGATTCTGGTTTGGGATTTCCTTTGCTACAATTCCCAACAAGGGAGATGATAGGAGATGTCAACCCCTAGTCAGGTATGGGGAGACAAAACAAGTCAGATTTCTATACCGAATTTTTTTTTTTAAAAAGAAAATATGTAATTATATTTTTGCTCATTTGTTTTCTAAATTGTATACAATTTACATGTATTAATTTTCAGATAAAAAAATACAAAAACCCTGATGTTAAAAAAGGTATAAACTACATAGCAGTGATCGTATTTTGGGTATCTTTAAAACACATTGCCCCCCATAACTTATAAAATATGTGAAGGTGAGGGAGATTTTGCTTTCCTCTCAATTGACGTATAAATTCATTTAAAATAGCATATTTAATCCAATATTTATGAAAAATAAGAATATCTGCCATTGTCATTACAGTATAATTTATGCTGACCAGTTATCAAATGTATGTCTGATTATTCTGTATATAGCAAATTTCTAAGCCCCAGTAGTTTCATTTTCCTATTAAATCATCAACCAGAACTGCCCACATGTAACTGTGTTTGCTCAATTTAAAGCTTACTTCCTGTGCCCGCCTGCATCCCATGCTTGCTCCCTGCTGGCGGAGAATTTACTAAGTTTGAAATGGTACATGTGTTGAAGCAAGTGGCTGGGATAGCTCCCCTTGAATAACGGAGCCAGTCTGAATTCTCTTAATCAGTGGTCTCTAAGCAGAAGCACTGGTGTAGGGGTGCTAGCCAAGGGGATGTTGGTGATTTCTGGCCTTTGTGATTGTCAAGGGTCATGAGATGAAAGCGCTTTCAGAAATCTTAGGTATTTCTATCATCACCAATCATGGTTAATTATCCAACGTAGCTGCTCCTTGTAGGAACGGATGATGTTATTGGGGCAGAAACAGACACAGGTCCTTAGTAGATTCTGTTTAGCACTATCCAAACCAGATTAGAAGACCAGTGTCTAAATTTATAAATATCACAGAGAAAATACATTTCCTTGAAAATTTTGCTAGAAATGGCGAGAGAAAGGAACAGCAATCTCTCAAAGTCTCTGTCTTGGTGTCTCGAGTATAATATTGACGGTAAGTGCTGCATATTCAACAGCTACAGTTATCTGATGAACGTACAGATGAATAAGGGAATTTTAATCCCTTTGGAAAGATTATTTTTCACAGTAAAATGGATATGAAGAACTAATTTTTTTTGTTTAACCATGTCTTTTTAGGATCTTCCTAAATACTATGACGACTGTCCATTTTTCTTTTGGTTCCATACATCTTTTATACAAAATAACAGGTATGGCTATGGTATAATCTAGTAGAAACAGCTTAGTCTCGAATGTCTATGTAAGAGGTAATGACAAGTCTTTTGCTAATTGCCGTAAGCCCAATTTATAGAAACCAAAAAATCCTTGAGTCACCGTTCTTCATTGCTTTCCTTATTGTGATTTGGTTATTTAAAAAATATGGCTATTTTTAACATCTTTATTGGAGTATAATTGTTTTACAATGTTGTGTTTCTGCTGTATAACAAAGTGAATCAGCTATATGTATACATATATCCCCATACCTCCTCCCTCTTGCATCTCCCTCCCACCCTCCCTATCCCACCCCTCTAGGTGGACACAAAGCACTGAGCTGATCTCCCTGTGCTATGCGGCTGCTTCCCACTAGCTAGCTATTTTATATTTGGTAGTGTATATATGTCCATGCCACTCTCTCACTTCGTCCCAGCTTACCCTTCCCCCTCCCCGTGTCCTCAAGTCCATTCTCTATGTTGTGTCTTTATTCCTGCCCTGGCCCTAGGTTCATCAGAACGATTTTTTTTTTAATTCCATATATATGTGTTAGCACACAGTATTTGTTTTTCTGACTTACTTCACTCTGTATGACAGACTCTAGGTCCATCCACCTCACTACAAATAACTCAGTTTCATTTCTTTTTATGGCTGAGTAATATTCCATTGTATATATGTGCCACATTTTTTTAAATACATCTTTATTGGAGTATAATTGCGTCACAATGCTGTGTTAGTTTCTGTTGTACAACAAAGTGAATCAGCCATATGCATACATGTGTCCCCATATTCCCTCCCTCTTGAGCCTCCCTCCCACCCTCCCTATCCTGCCCCTCTAAGTTGTTGCAAAGCACTGAGCTGATCTCCCTGTGCTGTGGCTGCTTCCCACTAGCTATCTGTTTTACATTTGGTAGTGTATATATGTCAATCCTACTCTCACTTCTTCCCAGCTTTCCCCCTGCCACCCCCATGTCCTCAAGTCCATTCTCTACATCTGCGTCTTTATTCATGCCCTGCCACTAGGTTCATCAGTACCGTTTTTTTTTTTTTAGATTCCATAGACATGCAATAGCATCCAGTATTTGTTTTTCTCTTTCTGACTTACTTCACTCTGTACTATAGACTCTAGGTCCAATCACCTCACTACAAATAACTCGACTTTCTTTTTATGGCTAATATTCCATTGTATATATGTGCCACATCTTTTTGTTGTTTTTTTTTAACATCTTTACTAGAGTATAATTGCTTTACAATGGTGTTAGTTTCTGCTTTATAACAAAGTGAATCACTTATACATATGTTCCCATATCTCTTCCCTCTTGTGTCTCCCTCTGTATCCCACCCTCTAGGTGGTCACAAAGTACTGAGCTAATCTCCCTGTGCTATGTGGCTGCTTCCCACTAGCTATTTTACATGTGGTAGTGTATATATGTCCATGCCACTCTCTCACTTTGTCACAACTTACCCTTCCCCCTCCCCATATCCTCAAGTCCATTCTCTAGTAGGTCTGTGTCTTTATTCCCATCTTGCCCCTAGGTTCTTCATGACCTTTTTTTTCTTCTTAGATTCCACATATATGTGTTAGCATATGGTATTTGTTTTTCTCTTTGAGTTACTTCACTCTGTATGATAGACTCTAGGTCCATCCACTTCACTACAAATAACTCAATTTCATTTCTTTTTATGGCTGAGTAATATTCCATTGTATATATGTGCCACATCTTCTTTATCCATTCATCTGTCGATGGACACTGAGGTTGCTTCCATGTCCTGGCTATTGTAAATAGTGCTGCAGTGAACATTGTGGTACATGACTCTTGTTGAATTATGGTTTTCTCTGGGTATATGCCACTAGTCGGATTGATGGGTCATATGGTAGTTCTATTTTTAGTTTTTTAAGGACCCTCCATACTGTTCTCCATAGTGGCTGTATCAATGTACATTCCCACCAACAGTGCAAAAAGGTTCCCTTTTCTCCACACCCTCTCCAGCATTTATTGTTTGTAGAGTTTCTGATGATGGTCGTTCTGACTGGTGTGAGGTGATACCTCATTGTAGTTTTGATTTGCATTTCTCTAATGATTAGTGATGTTGAGCATCCTTTCATGTGTTTGTTGGCAATCTGTATATCTTCTTTGGAGAAATGTCTTTTTAGCCTTTCTGCCCATTTTTGGATTGGGTTTTTTTGATATTGAGCTTCATTTTTCATATTGAGCTTGTATATTTTGGAGATTAATCCTTTGTCAGTTGCTTTGTTTGCAAATATTTTCTCCCATTCTGAGGGTTGTCTTTTCATCTTGTTTATGGTTTCCTTTGCTGTGCAAAGGCTTTTAAGTTTCATTACGTTTCATTTGTTTATTTTTTATTTCCCTTACTCTAGGAGTTGGGTCAAAAAGGATCTTGCTGTGATTTATGTCATAGTGTTCTGTGTATGTTTTCCTCTAAGAGTCTTATAGTGTCTGGCCTTACATTTAGGT